GCAGAAAATCTGTCCAGGACACCTCCCTGGCTGCCCTGACTGTCCCCTCTTGTTCCACAATTAAACTGCTTTGCGGAATGAGTGAGGAACAATGTGTGCTTGGGAGATGGGGGAAGCAGATCACCTGCTTCCATAGGATTTTAGTCAGTATGTGGATGGCTCCTCACTGTATCAGAGAGGCTGATCCAGTTCACAGAGCCCAGTGCAACACACAATGTTACAAAGCACTTTATTTTTGCTAAGGTGGGTGATAAAGCAAGCCCTCTCAGTGCGCAGGACCTGAGGGTACACTGGTGGTGCAACTGCAGCACTAAAAATACCAACTGCAGCACTTTTTAGCCAAGAGACCAATGGCACTCTTAACACCAGCCTGGCATCCGAACCCTGTCCCTGCAGGCATCCCCGGTGTAAAGCTATCACTGGGCAGACTGCCGTGTGGCTGAAGCCAACAGCTCTACTTGCTTTTGCAGAGCAGCAACACATGATGCAAAAAAAAGGGGAGTAAGCAAGTGCTGCTGCAGTGCCCATCGCCAGGAGCAGTCCTGTACCCAGGAGACACCAGGGAAAGCGCCGTGTTCCTGGACTGGCTTTTGACTGAGGACACACTACATGCATCCAGCACCTGCTCCTAACTCCTCCAGCCTTGCACAGGGGCAGCAACCAAGCCCAGCTTCTGGGTTAATCCACCTTATACCTACGGCACCTCATACAGAGCAGCCAGTCGGTCTCCAGAGGTCAGGGGAGACTTCAAGGATATTTGCAGCATCTGCCTGCCTGCAAGGGATCTTACCTCCTATCACTGTGGGACTTCTACATTCTTTTTCCAGGTTACTCCAAATTCTCAGGCATTTCACCGAGACTCTTTCCTGTCTAAACAAGCCCTGGATACAGTTGTCCACTCCACCTGTGGCTGTTGGGATCTCAGGAGAGGTTAATGTCTTTCTCAGTCTCAACGAGTACACCTGGTACACCGAGGCCCTCCTAGAAACCAGCCCGTGTTGTGTTACAGGCCAGCTCTTTTGGATGCTCCAAAGGGTAGAAGTTGTCTTTCCCGGCCTTTGCAAGTACTCTGCCACTTGGCAGACAGCTTAGTTCTTGCTGTGTTTGGACACTAATTAAACCATGGATGGTTTGGACAGCGAATTTGGACCCAAGCTCCTACACCTCTGCCTGGGTGTATAGATAGATGCTATAGGGTCCTTCGGATGCTCCAAAAGATGACACAGAGCAGGCTTCAGAGGCCAAGAACAGGCACTCGGGTAACAGCAGGTGTAGAGCTGCCCTGGCCCCAGCCCATCTCCACTCCACAGCACAGCAGCAGCATGAAAACCAGCAAGCCAAGGCTGCACTGGAAGGTCAGTGCCAACTAGTGTGGTGCTGATGAGTCAGTTATCCCGCAGCTGAGCATGGACGTCTCCAGTAACATAATTTGCTGTGGTTTGGCTGCATCAGAGCATCCCAAGGATGAATTGCCAGGACACTGCCCTAGGACGGCACATGCCCCCAGCACAAGGAGTGGGGAAGGTGAAGGTGCCCCTTGTGTCCCCTAAGCAGCAGCTGATGCACGTGCTGCTCTGTGGTTAGTGAAAGACCACGGCACACGGTGCATGAGGGGTTTATGCTGCCTGCTACTCTGGTGTTTTAAAAACCGCTACGGTGAGAAATTACTAATCTTAGTGAGGTCTGCAGTGTAGGTGGGTTTTGTAGATTGCTTTTCAGAGAGATGATTTCTTTGCCCAAGTAAATCTTACAAGTGTCAGCACTAGTCTAGTTGGAAGTGCCATGGCACTGGTCTGGAGAGGTCACTTGCCATGTTTTTTTATGCATCTGAAATCTTCTGGCATCATGCATGACTTCTGTTTCCCTCCACTTGAGAGAATGACAGAAAGCAGGGTAAGAGGGAATTTCAACCGAGACACGATCTGGAAATGCAAATTGTGGCTGGAGCAGAAGGCCAGGGTGACAAAGCGGGCAGTTTTGGTGGTGCTGCTTCTCGTTGGCTATGCAGAGGCACTGGGCAGCACTGGGCTGTCCATTCCCAGGCAAGTTCAGAAGTCGCAGATGTCCAGCCTCTGCTGGAGACATTCAAATCTCATTCCTGGAGTTTAGGCTCGGCTCTTGGCCCAGGCACCACAGCTCTGCTCTGAGCTGCCCATCTCAAACATAGTCCCAAGCACAATGTGGCAGGCAGCCTGGAAAGGCTGGGGGGTGGCTGGGAGGATTGTTCAAGACCATAGTGGTGTGGAAGTGATGCGAAATGGTTAAGAGCATGTGAGCTCTCATTTTGTCCCCATCTGCAGCTGGCCCACAAACTGCAGATGAAATTCCTCTTTGCTTCGATCCTCACCTCCCTCCAGCCTGTTTCTGCAGGCTCTGGAAGGCAAAATGGCTCTTCCATGGTGCTTTTTTTTTTTTTTGCAATTAGCACGCTAGCAACACCTACTTACAAGGCAGGTCTGGGGTTGTGAGGCAAAGGCTGGCTCAGAGCAGAAGTGAAAGAGAAAGAAACACCACAGGTGTTAGCATGCTGAAGGCAGAACTGAAAGCAGGAAGCCAGTCTCCATAGGCAGGATTGTCACCCAGCTGCTCAGGGACCCAGGAGAAGAGGGCTGGGGAGCTAGGCATCCTCTTCCACTGCACCGCTAGAGGCAGCCAGAGCTGGTCAGTGAGGCCCATCTGGTGGGGACAACCCAGCAGAGGAGGAAGAAGTGATTTGCTTGATGTTTCAAAAGAAGTGGCCAACAGGTCAACGGAGATGATTCTCCCCCTCTACTCTGCTCTCTTGAGACCCCATTGCAGTGCTGGGTCCAGCTCTGGGGCACCAGCATCAGAAAGACATGGACCTGCTCAAGTGGGTCCTGAGGAGGCCACAAAGATGCTCGGGGGCTGAAGCACCTCCCTGTGAGGACAGGCTGAGAGAGCTGGGTGGGTTCAGCTGGAGAAGAGAAGGTTCTGGGGAGACCTTAGAGTAGCCTCCCAGGGCTGAAAGGGGCTGCAGGAAAGGGGGGAGGGACTCTTTACCAGGGAGTTGAGTGGTAGGATATGGAGTGACGGCTTTAAACTGACAGAGGGCAGATTTAGATTAGATATGAGGAAGAAATTCTTCCCTGTGAGGGGGGTGAGGCCCTGGCACAGGTTGCCCAGAGAAGCTGTGGCTGCCCCCTCCCGGGAAGGGTTCAAGGCCAGGTTGGATGGGGCCTTGGGCAACCTGGGCTAGTGGAAGGTGTCCCTGCCCAGGGCAGGGGGGTTGGAACTGGGTGATCTTTAAGGTCCCTTGCAACCCAAACCACTCTATGATTCTAATTTTTAGCCAGCTTTTGTGTTGAAGAGGCAAACAACATGTTGGCTATATCCACAAGCCCTCCCCCAGCTAGGAACACAGGTCAGGTGCCCTGTAAAGTGGGTTTGCTGGGGTTTCTAAGATACCACTGAAAGAGAGTCTGACAACCTCGAGACAAGTGCAGGTATCACACTGTCACTCTCTGGGCATCTGTTCCTTCTTCCACTCTCTGAGCTTTCAAATGTGACCTGGGGGCATGTCTGGATCAAGATCCTTGTGCTGTGTGCCCACTGCAGCCTGTGCAGACCCCTGGAAAGGTGTCTGCAGGTCTGTGGGGACTGCAAGGATCTCCAGGCAGCCTCCCTGCATCCACAGGCATTCCTGGGCAGAAAGCAATTGGACTCAGAGCAGGTTCTGGACAGCCACCCCTTTCCCCAGCCTGAATCTACCTAGTTTGGCTCATAGAGGCCATAGGAGGCCATGCTGAAGTAATGGCTCTCCCCTCATCCACACAGCTGTAAGGCACTCAGGTTGGCCAGATACGATGTGCCCTTTGTAAATCCCTGCTGGCTGTGCCCTTCTCATCCTTCAGGTGCTTGGCAGTGATTGCTGGGAGGATTTGCTCCATCACCTTCCCAGGGACAGAGGTGATGTCGGGCAAGCGGTAGTTCACCAAGCCCTCCTTCTTCCCTTGCTTGAAGCTGGGTGTGATGTTTGCCTTCTCCCACTCACCAGGAACCTCTTGATTGCTATGATCAGGAGGTAATGGACAAGAAGGAATGGCCTCAAGCTGTGCCAGGGCAGAGTCAGGCTGGCTCTGAGGAAAGATTTCTCTGCAGAAGGGGCTGTTGGGCGTTGGAATGGGCTGCCCAGGGCAGGGGGGAGTCCCCGGGATCCCCGGAGGGGTTGAAGAGTCAGGCTGACCCAGCGCTGAGGGAGCTGGGAACGGTCAGGGGGAGGGTCATGGCTGGGCTGGAGGAGCTTCAAGGGCTTTTCCAACTGAGATGATTCTGTGAACTTCCAAAGACATCAGAGAGCGGGGCACTGACCATCTCCCTCAGCATCCTTGAGTGCATCCCACCCAGTCCTCTGGGCTTGTGTATGTGTGCTTTAAGTCAGTCTTCCTTGAGGATGGGTAATACCCTGCTGCTAGGACTAGGGACCTGTGAGGCTTGAGGGCAAACCTCAGCAATAACAGCTGAGTAAAAGGCTTTGTGTACCTCGGCTGTTCGGGGTCTGTGTCACTACGACCAGGGACCCGAAAGGCTTGAGGGCCCTTACCAGCCAGCAAGAGCCTGGCTGCAGGAACCCCCTGCAGTGTTTCCAGTGCCCATGGGCACTGTCCCCCAAGACAGCATCTCCCAGAGCTGTGTGGGGTGCAGGGATCTAGGGTGCTGTGAGTCACCCTCTCTGCTAGAAGGAATTTCCTTCTGTTTCACTGCTGGAACCCTGCTGCACTTAATAAATTAAATCTCAATAAATTATTGTTTCCTTGCTCATTCTGTTTTGGCTCAGGTGCACTATGACCTGACAGGTATGTTGGGGCTTGCCAGAGTTGTGAGCTCATGAGCATCGAAACCTGACACATCCACTCAGCACTGCCCAGTGCCCGGATTTCCAGTGGGCTGGGACACCTCATTGGTGCCCTGCGTGGGAGGGCTCTGGTGCTTTCTGCAAGCTGCCTGCAGCCACAGCTCCTTTCATTTTCAATTTTCTCAGCACTGGGAACTGTGCAGCTCCACCCGTGGCACCAGAAGCCTGTGTGGTGCAGAGGCTCTTGGTCTCCATCTGCAGCAGGAGCCTCCAAAAAGAGCCACAGCTGCCCAGGCAGGAGCACAGAGCCCACTGACTGCCGTCCGTGCGGGACCCGGGCAGCGCCTGATCTCCCGCTGGTGACTGCTCCGGTGAGTGTGACAAGAGGCGTGAGGGCCGGGTGGCTGCGGAGCAGGGAGGGCTGGCCTGTGGTTGCCATCCATGTGGGGCGGGGAGGCCAGCCAGGCTCTGTCTTGCCCAGCCCGTTTGGGCACGGGGCAGGGGAAGCCCTGAGATGACCTGGGCATCGCGCAATGGAGCCTCCCCAGAAGCATTTCAGCAGTGTGCAAAGGGGCTCTGTTGCATGCTTTGGGGTGCTCAGAGAGCGCTGGATTGTGTGTGTCTCCACCCTTCTCCACTCCCCACAGTGTTGCTGTGGGTGCTGGGGACAAGAGCTGCTTCTGACCTCCCCTCTCTGCCACAGATGTCTCAGGAATCGTGGCGGCCGAGCCACCCCAGCGCCCTGCTGATCCCCAAGGCCCGGGCAGGGCGAGCACAGCATGCCGTGTACCTGCTGCTGGCTCTGGGCGCTGCGGTGCTGTACCTCCGCGGGGAGCCCCTCGTGCCCACCGCCCGCAGCCTCACCTTCCACTTCACAGCCCTGCAGATCGGAGTGCTGCTCAAGGGCACCTGCTTCCTGGCAGAGGAGATCTTCCACCTCCAATCCAGGTGAGCCAGCGTGGGGGTGGCTGTCTCCCCAGTTCCTGGGAACACCCTGGGGACAATGGCAGAGCAGCCTCCGGGTGTTGGGGGGGATCTGCTCCTTGTCTGTGCTCCCACACATCCCCTCTGTGGCAATGCCCGGCCGTGCCCCTGGCAGCACAAACTGCTCTGTATCAGCCTCCTGTCTCTCTCATCTCTTCCTCCCTCCTCCCCATCTCCTGCCTGTCCTGATCCCCCGTCTATGGACCTCTCCCTTTGTTGTGGTTTAACCCCAGCTGTTTACTCACTTCCCCCACAGTGTGATGGGGGAGAATCAGAAGGATAAAAGTAAGAAAACCCATGGGTTGAGATAAGAACAGTTCAATAATTGAAATAAATTTTTTAAATATTAAAAAAAAAAAGAAAAGGAAGATAACAAAAAGAGATAAATAAAACCCAAGAAAAACAAGCAATGAATGTAAAACGAATGAAAAACAATTGCTCGCCCCCAACCAACCGATGCCCAACCCGTTCCTGAATAGTGGTCCCCGAGCAGCTTTCCCCCTAGTTTATATGCTGAGTGTAATGTCACATCCCTTTGGCAAGCTGGGGTCAGCTGTCCTGGCTGTGTCCCCTCCCAGCTTCTTGTGTGTCCCAGCCTCCTTGCTTACTGAGTTCTTGACTTAGCTTAAGCACTGCTAAAACATCAGCCTGTTATCAACGTTATTCTCATCCTAAATCCAAACTCAGCACGATACCAGCTACTATGAAGAACATTAACTCTATTCCAGCTGAAACCAGGACACCCTTTCCTCTCCGTGGTAGCTCCCTAGTGTGCCCTTTCCCTGGGGAACAGAACTTGGCCCCCAGCCTTTCCTCACCACCCAGTGCTGGAGGGCACAGGGCTGTTGGGGACAGTCTGCCTTTGCTGTCCAGGGCGACATTATGTCTGCTCCCCTCTGAGACCCACATGTGCTGCCAGAGACCCAAGCGCTCTCGTGGCTCGGGGCACCCCCAGTGCACTGAGGCAGGGTCCCACGGGGCTCCCGGGCTCCATGCTGCTCCAGAGGGTCAGTGGCACTGGCAGGGAGGTGGGAGCATCCCCTGGCCTGTGCCCTGTAGGCTGCAGATGGTGGGTGGGTGGCCACCAACCTGTCTGCTGTCTCCCTCTCCCACCCAGGCACCGTGGAAGCTTCTTGAGGGCCCTGAACGCCTGCTTCCCCCTGCGCTGGCATGGGCTCATGCTGCTCGTCTGTGGCTCAGCCTACGTGGCTCTTCTCAATGGAGATGGGCAGCTGCTCGGCCTCCACCTCGGCCTCGCCAGCCTGTGCCAGCTCCTCATCCTCGCTCTGGGGCTCCACGTAAGGCACAAACACCTCTGGGGAGCCCTTCAGCCTTGAGCAGTTGTGGGGGCACCTGGCCTGGCCCTGCATGGTCCCTGCATGTACAGCCCACCCGCACGCAGCCCCACGGCAGAAGAAACGCTCTCGTTAGCTCAGCCTTGAAGAGCTGATCTCCTCAGCCCCATACTGCCACAGGCATCAGTAGGAGGGCCAGGCTGCCTTTAATGAGCACAGCCACCCTGGGGTGCTGGCAATGGCCCTGCTGCAGCCAGAGCCCTGCTCACACACACACACACACACACACACACACACACACACAAAAAAGGTGTATTTTTAAATCTGTCAGTCAAGCTGGTGCTTGAGGGGAAAGGGTAGCCTGTCTGGTCCCCAAAGGGTTCATTATCAGACATGCTATGGGCAGCAGAGCCCAGCTCGAGGTTCCTCTGCAGCTTTGGGAGGGCTCTGCTTTACCCCAGCAGAGCTGGAGGGGGAGAGGGGTCACTCAGCCTACAGGAGGGTGCTTTGGGGAGGGCAGCCATCAGGCACCTGTGGGGGCTCAACACCCATTTCCACCTACATGAACACACAGAGCTAGCAGGGGCCACTGATGGCCCTGAAAATCCTACCATCAGGCACTGGGATGGCTGCTCCTGCATGCTGGAAGCTTTGGGCAGATGCACAAGTTCCACGGGAACACACGAGCCCAACGGAGAGTGCAGCCAGAAAAGTGCCCAGCTCTCCCCAGCACCACCTTTCCCATCTGCAGGGGCTGCATGGGCTGTCAGGGCCCCACTGCCTGCCATAGTGGGGCAAGGGGGCAGCAGGGTTTCTCACTTTCCAGATCCCTTTGGAGAGGGCAGCTGCTCACCAATGACTGTAGAGAACCAACTGTTGCAGAAGAGCCCAGGTGGCTGCATTCATCACCACTGGTCTCTTTCCTTCCCTCCACAGAAACCCTCAGCAGTGGAGGTTTCTGAGATGTCTGAAAAGTCCAAGCAGAATGTCGCTCATGGGCTTGCCTGGTCTTACTACATTGGGTACCTAAAAATAGTCCTGCCACGTACGTAACTGTTTCCCTGCATTATCATGCCTACAGATAGAAATAGCTCCTAATAACAATCCTCCCACTTTTAGCATTAGCTAGGAAATGGGGAGCAAGATAGAAAGCAGCTATACTCACACCAGGCACTTCTGTGCAATGCTCTCTTCAACCAGGGGTGAAAAAGTCGATGGAGGAATTCAGCAGAGCCAACCCCAATGTGCTGGCATGCAGCGAGACCTGGAAGCTCCACATCTTGGTCCCTCTGAGCTGCGACATCTATGATGACCTGGAGAAAGCTGACAGCAATATCCAGTACCTGACAGACCTCACTGAAACCACCCTAACCCGAGCTGGCACCAAAAAAAGGGTCTACAAACACAGCCTCTACGCAATCAGGGATAAAGACAACAAGGTAAACTGAGTGTAGTGTCAGAAGAGCAGTCAGGATGCATCAGGCCAGAGGTCTTCCTGGCCTCAGATCCCAGTCCAGAACAGGCATAAGGGCAGGACAGTGTCCCCTCTCCTATTAGATACTCGGAGCTTTCAGCAGGCTTCCGCAAGATGAAGAGGTCCTGTTCATGCTGGCCATCTGCACCCTTTCCTCCTGCCTGCCTCCTTCCAGGCTCAGCCCTTGCAGGGATGCTGGGCTCACTTAACCCTTCCTGGGGTTGATTCAAGGCCAGAAAACAGCAGAAAATTGAGCAGAAAAAAGCAGATGTGGGGTACAGAGCATCACTTCCCATGGGAAGAATGAATATTTCCTTTTGTTGTGAAGAGGGGCTTGAAAATGTCCATGTGAGTTGTTGTATAATTTGACTCTCTCCCATTCCCCCAGTCACCTCTTTTCCAGATTGACAAGCACCAAATCCTTCCACCTCGTGGTGCATTCACTTCCTTCCACATCTCCAGACAGACGGGCCTCTGCCCCTGCACCCTGGGAGGGGGGAACACACTGCTGCTGGTGACACAGCTGTGGATGAAGGCGTCGGCAGAGCCTGGGTCCCCCTAATTTACCTTTTGATGGTGGCTGAGTGCTGAGCTGCTGCTTTAAAGCACTGTCTGAAGCGACTCCAGGGCCCTTTTCCTGGCCCTGCTCCTGGGGAAGTACAGCACCATTGGGTTTTTCCTGCTACAATGCATGCACTGATGCTGTGTTTCATCTGCCCGCCCCCTGCTGAGTCACTCAGCACTAAGTGAACTCCAGCAGCTCTGCAGGCTGGACCTGTCCTGACCTGCTGTGTGTTGTCAGTCTTGCTGCCCAGTCACTGGTGGACATGTCCATGGCAGCTCCCATCCTTGGCACCTGCTCCAGGTCACTGCTTTTCCTGCTACTCTGCAGTTACCCAGGGATCCTGGCCCTCTTCCTTCTAACACCCTTCATTAAACTTTCCAGTTTACCCAGTATAAGACTGACTGGTCACACTGCTCCTCCTTGGAATTTTTATGGCCTTAACAAATCTCTCCTCATTGGTTTGGTCATCCTCCTCGTAGCTGTACACTGTTCATCTTGCCAGTGTTTGTCCTCTTCTCTGCTCTCCTACTCTCCATTAGGATGCTCAGACTTACCCTTGCCTAGAAGAAAAACCACCACGAAGGCGTGATCAGACACGGGCAAGGGGTGTCTCCATAGGGTACCAATTTCCATGGGGAAAATCCCCCCCCAGGATGCGGCTTGCAAAGCCAGTGACTTGACAAAGCCAGTGGCTGCCCCCCAGGGCCTGGCAGGAGGGGGGAAATGCATGGGCCACAGCGCTACCTGCTCAACCCAGGGCAGGGGGACCCTGCAGTCAGCACCTGCATCCCTGTCCCGGCCATCCAGCACACAGCACCAGTGCAGGGCAGGCTGAGGAGCCGCAAAGAGCTCTCAAGGGCTCTGCACAGTGCCAGAGTCCCCCAGCTGCTTGGTCCTCCTGCCCCATGTCTTTTTCCTTCCGTCCCTGCAGCTCTGGCACTGCGCGGTGGAGTATGCCACCCCGCTGCAGTCCCTCTACGCCATGTCCCAGGATGAGTGCGCTGCCTTCAGCCGGGAGGAGCGCCTGGAGCAGGCCAAGCTTTTCTACAGGACCTTAGAAGAGATCTTGAAAGGCTCCAAGGAGTGCGCGGGTACCTACCGGCTCATTGCATATGAGGGTGAGTGAGGAAGAGGGGCAGGAGTGCCCAGCACGGTGGCTCTTCCCTCCCAGCCCCTTGACTGACGTCAGATGAGGGCAGACAAGGGGAAGTAGGCAGGATCTGTGCAGTGCTTGGCTGATATTCCCCACTCAAGTGGCCATGTGGGAGGAAGGGGCAGCCTCCACACACAGAAGGATTTCTTGCTGCGGGTCTCAGAGGAGCAGGGAGGGTGCTAGCAGAGCTGGTCCCTGCTGGAGGCACCCGAGACAAGCAGCCTTCCCTGGGGCAGCAGGAACGCTGCCTCAAGGATTAAGTATAAGAGTGGACTTCCAGGGGAAGGAGCAGCTCCCCTTGCTGCTGATGTTTGTGGGAGGAATGGCTGGGGCTGACAAGCTCTCCCCAGAAGTGGGATGGGTGTGCATGCGTGTGCTTCATCAGTGGCATCAGGAGGAATGCCATCAGTGGCATTCCTCCTGATGGGATGGGAAGAAGCAAGTCTTTCCCTTCTTCCCACCTTGCTTTCGTTTCCCTTCTCACCTCTGCCAGAGCAGCAGGGATTAAAAACACTTTGCTGCTTCGTGCTGGAATGAATCTCGTTTTTCAGAGGAAATTCATCACTCTCCCTGATGGGGGAGGTAGTTTCCATCACAACAAGCACTACTAGGAATTCAGCACATAGTGCTTGTATTTGACTCTCCTTCCTGCACTCTGTGTTTTAATTTCTTTCTTCTGGCATGTTGAAAAGGGGAAGTAAAAACTGTATTTTAAGTTCTCAGGAAATTCTGCATATTTTGGGGCATCTCCCAGAGACCTCGGGCCTGACCAGTGAAGGTGGGGTTTTGTCTCTCTTCTGTTCCAGAGTCAGGAGAAGCAGAGACTCACTTCTTGTCCAGAGAGATCCTCTGGCACCTCTGGCAGCAGCACCACGAGGAGTACGCCGTGTGCGAGGGGAACCACCCGCATGCCCCATCCACAACCCTCAACTCCACAGAGCTCAACCTCCAGATCAGCACCTCCGACCTGCCACAGCCTCTGCGAAGTGACTGCTTCTGAAGCTCCAGCACTGCCCAGCCCCACACCACCACATCCGGGCTCCAGTCCCCCTTCCCCACACCCCTTCCTCTTGCAGGAAGTGCTGCCCATGCCAGTGATCCCCAACCTCCTGTGGGAACTGTTCACCAGAACCTCCTGCACATCACTCACACCACACTCCTGGGACATGCTTCCCATTCTTTGTTATGTATAGTTCATACATTAATCTGTGGATGGGTTTTTTTTCAGTCTGCTTTGATTTGTGTCATATAAAGCATTTTCCTCTGGAGCGAGTTGCATTATCCTGAATCTTGGGCACAATGCGCAGTCTGCCCTTGGACATCCTGTGGTGTTGGATGCAGCTTTGGAAATCCCATCCGTGAGTGTGTCTGTGTGTGCTGAGTCCAACACATCCAGCAGCATGGCCTGATGAATCTGATGGCTTCTGCAGGCACATGGACTGTGTGCAAAACTCCAGCCTGATGTACCCACTGTGAAGTCACATACAAACATCCTCCCTTTGCACCCCATTCAGGATGTGAAGGTGGAAGAAGAGGAGGTCTTGATGCCTTGTGCAACAGGTAGAAAGAAATGTTCTGTTACACCTTTTAAAGTCACCCTGATATGATTGATCCATGATTTGCTTAACATATATCAAACCTTCAAAACATTCAGACACTGGGCTCAGAGAACCTAGAGTCTTGCAGTCCAAACCCGCCAAAAGCAGGCAACCATATAGAAAAAAAAAACCTAAATGTGTAGGTAAACCCACACTGCACACACTCCAGAGGAGAGTTCAACTAAAGGACACCCCTGAAGACCACCAAAGAGCCCCATGAAAGACCCTAAGAGACTCCAAGCGGATGCATAATTAGGATGCAAACTTTACAATTAGTTCCAGGAAAAAGAATGAATATATATGACTATTCTGGGAAATCTAATGCATATAGAAATTGTTGCGCAATATAAGCTCCGCATGCTGCAACGTGTGGCTCATGCGCTGGGTGGAGCGACCCTCTGTGCATCCGGTGCTGTAGTAAAGAATGCCTGACTTCTAAAACTTCAAACCAAGTCTTACAGGGCTCTTTTGAGACCAGATTTACAGTCACATTCTGGCCTGGGGATCTCTGACATTCAGTGGTCCCACAGTGCAAGAAACCTCCCTGCCTTTGCTCCAGCCAGTGATTTTGCCATTTTGGTGCCTGCAGATGCCCTTCATGCCCATATTCCTCCCAGGCACTCTGCAGAAATGTTTCTCCAGCTCCAAAGGATGTGCCAGACCCCTTGGAGCTCTGGGGAAGGGGAAGAGTGCAGAATGAGACAATTTGCATGTGGGTTAAGGTGCAAGACATCACATGTCTCAGCCCAGAAGAAGTTACTCTCGAGAAGCACAGCAGCCTGGGCTCTCCCTGACTGCTCAGGCTCTGTGGTCATGAGGAAGCAGAGCAGAGGATGTGCAGCCAGTCTGCTCAGCATGGCGCTGAGACAGACGATTTATTGGCTCTACCCACCTACATGCCACTCAGGATCTGCCTGTGGATGCTTAGGCTAAAAAAGGGGCTGTTCCAGGGCCAACCCCAATGCCGGGACACCCGACATAAGGCCACGCTTGCTGAAAAGACTCGGCTTGCAAGGGGACAGAGCCTGCTCCTGGGGGACCGCCAGGGCCAAGGAAGTGGCTGAAAAATACAGTCCCTGTGGTAGGCTGCCGCCAGGAGCCTGCCCAGCCCTGAAGACAGGAAAATCCCAAAGGTGCCCCACATGACCTGGGGCAGGCAAGCCATCTGGTCCCTCCAGCAACCAAGCACAGGGAAGAGTGTGGCCAGAGCTGTGTGCCATGGGGCAGGATGGCAAGCTTTTTTCTTGTCAGGTTGCCAGAGACCATGGCAGAGCTTTGTGATGGTGCAGCTTGGCAAGGCCACAGAAGAGAGACCAGAGCTGTGCACCCACTGCTCTGTGCCTGTTTCCTCTTTTACCAAGAGCTGAAGGAGGCTCTAACCAGCCAGGGAGAGAAGTGGGGGCAGGGGGCAGCTCAGTTGGCCTGATGTTGCAGTGTCCCTATCCTTTGGTCCCTCCCAACTCCCAAGACTTTGGCAAAAGGATGAGGTGCCTTGAGAGGTCGTAGGTGCTTGCCCTCAGCCTGAACTTCCAGCACCAGGGCCTAGACACAGCTGTGATCATCCTCTGGGCCAGCCATGGAGACCCTGAGGGGACTGTGGAGTCCAGGGGCTCAGAGGAGGTGACCTGGCTGCATGGCTGAGGATGGCAACAAGAGTGCTGGGCCTGGCTGCCTCCTGGCTCCGCTCACAGCTTCCTCGGTGGGTTGCCTGGAGCCATACACACACATAATCATCCCAGTGATGCTTCTACCTCCCTTTGTGGATACTGGTGAGCCTCCAGCTTAGCCATCTCCCCTGCCACTATTTTTCCAATGTGGTTAGGGTCCCTCAAATCCTGCCTGGACCTGTTCGCCAGTGGTCTATCTGGTGCCAGGTATGTGATCTCTCTAACAGCAGGTCCTTACTGGAGCCGTGGCTGCCTGGCCTCACCATAGCCTTGCCACATGGCTCCTGCCTGGGGAGGTGCAGCTTGCAGCCCAGCGTCTACTAGTCTGAATGTACACAGCCTGTGGAAGGGCCGTGATGCTGCAGGGACAACAAAACCAGCCAAGAGGACAGAGCCAGCTGTATTTTTTGGGATCACGGCAGGGCGCTGGGTTTCTCTGTCACTCCCAGGCCAAGGTGAAAGTGTTTGTGGCTGAGCAGGCTCATCCGGATTGGAGAGACACTGGTGCAAAGGGCTGGGTGGGCACAGGCTGGGTCTGCACCCACATCCCACTCCTGCCCTTGGGTCCTCTTACCCTGATATCTACCTGTGCTCGCAGCTCCCATCCCCAAGATGCTGGATGCACTTTCCTCTGCCGTGGCTCCCAAGGCAATGGTCATGCTTGGACAATTTGCACCTCCTTGAGCTGAAAAAAGCCACAGGCCAAAGCTTCACCCTTTGGCAGGAAGATGGGTGTCCCAGGCAGACCCCCAACCTGGAAGACAGAGGTGCCTGGGGAGAAATCCTCAGACAAACATTTATGTCACCTCCTCTTTATGTAGCCGGTACAACAGCTTTGATGTTGGTGGGAGGCTGTGTGCACAGGGCTCCCCACAGGCAAGGAGGCAGTTCCAGTGGGCAACGTGGCACAGCAGCAGATGCTGCCAGGAGCCTGGTTCAAGAGCAGTCTGCCTGCGCTGCCTCCAAGGGCAGATCCAAGGGCTCCCACATGGCAGTGCTGCTTCAGCCTTGTTTGGTCCACAGAGCTCGCTGGGCTCATCTCAAAAGCGTGGCCACACCACCCAGCATACCCCTCTAAGCGGGAGGAGAAAAACCTGGGTGAGAGTGTGTCCAGAGCTGTGTGCCATGGGGCAAGATGGCAAGCTTGTTGCTTGCCAGGTTGCCAGAGACCATGGCAGAACTTTGCGACGGTGCAGCTTGGCAAGGCCACAGAACAGAGGCCAGAGATATGCACTCACTGCTCTGTGCTTCAGTTTACCCTTTTGCCAAGAGCTGAACGAGGCTCTAACCAGACAGGGAGAGAAGTGTTCGCTATTCTGACCAGGTGGGTGAAAGCTTGGATGGCTGCAGTTTCTGTTGGGAGGAAGGCAGCCTGGAAAACCCTCACCCTGCATCCAGCTACCACGGGCCACCAGCGGCTTGGCCACATGAAGCCTGTGGAGCCAAGTGCTTCACAGCCACCCAAGGAGACCTGGCAGCACTGTTAAGCCCATCTGGCACACCAAGGCACAAAGAGCCTATAACCCAGCTCCTTAACCACCTTTTGAAGACTGTGGGATTCAAAAGGCCACTAGGACCTGCTCAGGCTCCCAGGCAATAGGCAGCCCAGGGCCAGCAAGCAGCTGGATGTCCTTCCCCTCACAGTGCTAATATCCAAGGCTCCAGGGATGCCTGTGAGCCCTGCAGGACAGCATCTGCTGGCCCTCACAGCCTGGTACCACTCTCCTGGCCTGGAATTGCGTTCTGTGCTGAGACCTTCTGCCCCCAGTATGACCCCAAGTAAAGAGGGATCAGCTACAGCTTATTCCTCTCTCATTTAAAGCCACTCATGAAACAGCTCGGGTTCCTTCTGTCTCTCCCAAGCTTTCCTCCCCAGGGTAAAATTGTTCTTGGCTGGTAGCTGTCTCTCAGCAAAGCACCCCAGGTAAATATCAGGGCTCCAATTTTCATGCACATGGGAGAACATGGTAGGGGATGCCTCTCCCCAGCTCCAGACCAGCAAGCTTTCAGAGGAGATTTGGCTGCACATTGGTCCTGCTGGGACTGGGAATTGGAACCCATTTCAGGATTCAGTAAAACCTTAATCTGCAGCCTAATCTCTGGGTACTGCATCTGTGCAAAGCTCCAAAACAGCAGATGAAAGGGCTGTTAAAGGAGGGCTTGTGACAGCAAAGGCTGCCAGCTCATCTCAGCTTGCTGGTTTGCAGATGTGTTGGGGATCTTCGCCGAGGCCGCTGGGATGTGCTGAGTGCCTGGTGCTGCACTGGGCGGAGAGGGAGAGGGGAGAGCTGTGCTGCTGCAGGCGAGGGGCCTCTGCTTGTGGTACCCCTCAATGCAGGGAGCAGAGTGCTGCACCCCAGGGCTCTCACCCTGTGGTGTGGGCAGGTGGACATCGGTCCTGATCGCCCACCTCCCATTTCAGAGCAGCGTTCCTGAGGGCACAGAGCTGGGGGCACCTGCTGAGATTCAAGGTAAGTGCCTGGCATCAGGGCTGAGCTCAGCAACATGGCAACAGCCAGAAGCAGTTGTGTGAGCAGCAAAACCAGCACCAAGACAGATCCCAAGGGTTTGCTCCCCCCACTGGAGATCCTCATGTGGCAAAGACTCCCTCCTGACACCCTACTCCCTTCCCATATGGGTGCTTCTTATCTTGCCCATCACCACCCTCAATCAGGTTGGGCTGAAGATGGCTGATAAGCTCAGCCCATATTATCAGGGCACAGGTAGCGAGGCAGGCACAAGCCCAGAGGAAACCTGACAACGCAACCTTGTTCCAGCAGAAACCATGTGGCCAGCAAAAGGCTCAGCCTCTGCCACAGCTCAAGGGCAAAGCCAGGGCCAAGCAGACAGCAAGGTGAAAGCCTTGGCTATCAGAGTGAATCACAGGCAGAGCTGAATCAGGAGCAGGAAAACCAAACCTCAGAAGAAGCTTGCTGCTCAAGCTGGCAAAGAGGATAACCAGTTTCCCCCTGAGCTCTCTAACAGCACAAATCAGCTCAGTTTTTGCACTAATTGCAGCATTCCACATCAGACCTGACCCAGGAGTCCCCAGGTGTGGCTGAGGGTTGAGGCTGTTAGCAGCACAGACGCAACCTGGTTCACTGCTAGCATGCACCAGCAGGGCAGTGCCCCCCTGCAGCCCCATCGCCACTGTGCCCACCGCTATGAGGGGGCAAAAGCCCCAGATGTCCCTGGTCATCACACAGTGCTTGGGCTCAGCCTTGTGTCGGTGATGCCCCACGCTCCAGTGCCAGGGCTGCTAGTAGAGGCAGAGGTGTGTGAGGGGCACAGGCACTACCCTTATCTGGAGCCCAGTGTGCAGAGACTGCCAGGGCCATGAGGGGAGATGAGAAGATTTAGGGG